TTGCCTCAAGTTTTCCGTTAACTTAGTCTACAAATAAAGCTTCAAAAGCTCTTACACGGAATCCTGCCCTGTCACTGTTAACCTTGACGCCACTGACAGAAAGAGCTTAACCAAGCTATCACACAATTTCTGCCTGACGCAAGTTACCTGTTAACCCAATGACCAAGACAGCCCCTCTCTACCAGCTTTTACTTAACACATAGAGTAAATGCCTGGTAAAATTTAACAGAGAAAGCCGGCACTCACCCAGTTCGCAGTCATGACTCCGGCGTCGTGCCTCTCAGAAGTGCCGTTCGATTCCCTCTGGAAGTCGATGAGCTCGTGTCCTCCTTCTCCTGTCGTCCCGTTGTTGAACTTCAGGCTCACTCCGTCCAGTGGTCGCTTTCGGGGTTATCAGCATCCCGCCGCTGTCATCCAGTTGTTGGGACTCCGGGTCCTGCCGGTCTCGTTTTCGGTAGCTGGCCCCGTCGCAGGATCCATCATCCAACAATTCAGCGAGAAGAAGCGCCCGAACGAACAACAGAGATTTATTTACATGTGGAGAAGTGGTCAACTGACCCAAAGAGAGAAGAGTGCGTGCGATACAAAACGTCTTCGGCATTTTATAGCGCCACGTTGTTGACACTGGGCGCCTTGTCCGCATCGTCAGCCAATACGGTGTCGCCGGCACCTCGGCCACGAGGGAGGGGAAAACACCTCTCACAACACAAGGAGTGGCACAACCCAACACCATATATGGTCCCGGCGCCCCAAAATGTTACCAAATATGGTCACGAACGCACAGCAGACCCCGTAGCTCTCCCGCGAGGAGGAACCAGAATGGGGAGGTGGGGGTGGCCGCCACCGCCGGTCAAGAACCGGTTCTCCCCCAAACACTTCCTGCTTGGCTCCCCAGGGCCGATCGTAACAGCCCCCTTAGAAACTGTAGCGCCAGGTCCCTCTAGTCACACACGCACGCACACGCACGTATACTCACATACGCATGCACACACACACACACACACACACACACACACACACACACACACACACACACACACACACACACACACACACACACACACACACACACACACACACACGCGCGCGCGCGCGCGCGCGCACACTCGCACACACACAAACACATGCACACACACACGCATGCACACGCACACACATGCACACACGCGCATGCAAATACACATGCACACACACACATGCACACACACGCATGCTCACGCACGCATGCACACACTAACACACACGCATGCACACACGCGCATGTACGCACACGCATGTACGCACACACATGCACACACACGAATGCACACACAGGCATGCAAATACACATGCACACACGCGCATGCACACACACGCGTGCACACACGCGTGTACACACACAAACACATGCACACACACGCATGCACACACGCATGCACACACACATGCACACGCACACACATGCACACACACGCATGCTCACACACGTATGCACACACTAACACACACGCATGCACGCACACACATGCACACACGCACACACGCACACATGCACACACACGCATGCACGCACACGCATGCAAATACACACACACACACACGCACACACACACACACACACACACACACACACACACACACACACACACACACACACATCTTACAATTTAATCGCATGCCATTTACCCATACACTACAGGCATTGTCACGCGCTTTGCACTAATATCAGTTGAAATTTACTCCTACATACCTGCAAAGCTCTCTTTGTGGGTAAAATTGCTTCGTTTGCCGTACTTTATTTATTTATTTATTTATTTATTTATTTATTTATTTATTTATTTATTTATTTATTTATTTATTTATTTATTTATTGTGGCAGCGCTACCTGGAAGCTGGAGCTGACTTCGTGGAAACGAACACTTTCACTTCGACGGCTGTAGCCCAAGCCGATTACGGACTGAGCCATCTGGTGAGATATGTGTACTTGCACATTGCTTTCGTCCGAGCCTCGCACAAACAAGTTCTCTATAATTCCGTTTGACGCTATACAGTTGCAGACAATTTAGAGCCAATGGGGGCACTGCACAGGTGACTTATTCTCCAATGCAGACTACCCCACAAGATCACGACCAGCCTTCTTGCGATGACAATGGAAGCCGCAAAGTGCTACAGTCGGATACAGCTTCAGAAGTCGGCGGCATGTTCTCCTCAGAGGCGGATGCACACAAGCCTGCACCAATAGGCGTGCACTGCATGTTGACGTCATGAGCTTCGACCCCGCCTTCGGAGAACATTCCCGAGTACATGAACGGGACTACTTGTTCAGTCGAGTCGAGGTAGTGACTGGCGGCCGGGCTTCGGTCGTCTTGGCGGGGTCTCTCTGAACTCTTAAGCTGTATCGGACTGTAGGACGTTCGCTTAGCAATTCCTCCTCGTTTCGTTCACCAGGGACATCAGACCGCCACTGCATCTTCGCGCCAATGTATTTGAACTAAATATAGCTGTTTAGGTAATGGTACATCACTGTGCCACTTGGCCATAATATGTCTGTGTGCTTTTAGCAGTAATAAGAGATAATTTATTCACTGTCCAACGTATGCATACTTCATGTCGGCCTCTGCACATTGCCAATGACAGAAAGAAAAAAAAAACTGGCACGAGGACGGGGGTATGATGTAAACTCAAAATATTGTCTGCTGAAGCAGCGGTCATGAATGTTGATTCTGTCATGCATACACTCCAGAAGTAAAATTATGAACTGTCTAAACATGCATAATATTCTACGTATATTGCAATAATGTATGTACACAACCCGTTGTTGACACGACTCCATACTAAACGAAATGAAAGATGCCTAAGTAACGCCCGTAGACTTGGTGCAGTGGCATAGCTATAGAAATTTGCTTCGGTGGGAGCACCTCGTTAAAGGAGCCATGACATTCAATTTTCGTTCTTATTCTGTGCTGTGCGGTTTTATCCTTGGGGGTTCACAAACAAGCTGTCAAAATTCAGTGCATTCGGTAAAGTATATTTATTTTATAACGAGCATTTTTTTTATAAGCACGCGAGTGGCCCGAGAGTCTAGCAACACTGACGCACTCGCGATCCGTGACGTAACAATCCGCTCGCATTGCAACCGTCTGTTTTCCGGCCGAAGATATTAGGGAGTTTTAGAATAGCGCACCGCGAGTCCTTGCGGTGTGGTCGCTGCCACTGCGCGCGCGTCGTAACGCGAGTCGCCGTCCGCGTTCGCGGCCCGCACGCAAAAAATCCGAAATAGCGTGCGGCGATCGCAGCCCGCGAGGTCTGCAAAGTGCTGTGACTAGCTTCCGGGCATTTGGGTTCGCGGTCAGGACGAAAGTCCCTAGACTTTTCTCTAGAGGGAGCAAACGCTATTCTAAGGCTGAGTTCCAATTCTTAGACAGCACGTAGACAGCCTACGTAGACTGCTAAGAACACAGCACTGAGCCGATGCTGTCCGAGAATTGGAACACTTCTTGACGACTTTAACGCGACGATGCGCCACCTGGCGTCGAGAAGAAAAAAAGCTAAAATAAAGAAACGTAACAGCTGTATTTTCTGACTTCGTGTTGAAATCAAAAACAAATAAACGTTACTCACATTGAGCGTCGGCCCTGCCGCGGTGGTCTAGTGGCTAAGGTACTCTGCTGCTGACCTGCGGGTCGCGGGATGGAATCCCGGCTGCGGCGGCTGCATTTCCGATGGAGGCGGAAATGTTGTAGGCCCGTGTGCTTAGATTTGGGTGCACGTTAAAGAACCCCAGGTGGTCGAAATTTCCGGAGCCCTCCACTACGACGTCTTTCATAATGATATGGTGGTTTTGGGACGTTAAAACCCCACAAGTCAATCAAATCACATTAATCGTCTGGGAAAGCGTCTGCTTGTGTGCAGACGACCATTTCGGCGAGATTTGATTTATCTGAGCAGTTCGCTGAGCCGCCATCTTGTTTAGACAGCAAAGTAGCCTGCATCGTATTTGTCTACGATGCGGTTTTCTCGGAGCTGTCTATTTTGCTGGCTACGTGAGATTTGGAATGGGACTTAAGATGGCCGCCGTCCATTTAGCTGTCTAGTTAGCCGTCTACCGTGAGTATTGGAACACACCCCAAAACTCGTAAGGCGCACGCTATGCCCGCAACGCCCGCAGCGCCTGCAAACGTTATTCTAAAGCTCCCTATTGTTTTGTGCTCCCCCGAGCGGATAATGCAACTATTAGAGCTTGCTTGACTTCGGCACTGAAAAAGTGAACGATTTCAAGTGACAGGAACTTCGGTAGAAGACGACGGCTCTGCTGTTACGTGAAGTACATGACATCACACACGCCATGGCAGAATTGCAGTCGTCGGTAATGAACAAGATTCACAGCCGGGAATTAGGAGGGCTCAATTTGCAATGAAATATTCTTCTGCAGTCATTTTTTTTATATATGTACGGGCACAACAGACCCTCTACTTCTATTTTTTTTTTTTGCTGAAAACAGCAATTTGGTGGGTGACCGTGTCACGGCCCCTTTAATCCAATGTGGGAGCCACGTGCGTGTGTTCGGGTGTCTTTCTTTTCTCTCCTTCACTCTCTCTCTAACTTTTATTCCCCTTATCCCCTTCCTCGGTGCAAGGTAGCCTGCCGGGCTCAGCCATGGTTAACCCCTTTGCCTTTCTTTCATCTTTATTCTCTCTCTCTCCTTGTGCTCTTTATCTCATGGCAGAAAGAGAGAACAGACGCCCGGTGTGCCACGTCGCCTGGCTACGCCACTGACTCTGCGGAATAATTTTTTAATAGAATACAGGGTTTCGTGTTGCTATGTAGTCAAACAACCCAGTTCTACCCACTGGGAGGCATTTAAAAGAAACGCATTCCATTATGATTTCCTAGTGTATCGCGGCGAGCATAACACACAAGGACTCGCGAACAGCTTCTGGGTTTACGTAAAAGTAATCAGTGGTCTGATTAGCTGGCTGGTGGAAAATTTGTAAACATTCTTTATTTCGATATCTTGTTAGGCTTACCGTCTTAACCTGGAAGGCGCCAGGCTAGCCCGCCAAGCTTGCCAGCAAGTAGAAGCCCAAACAGGTTAGTGCAAAACTTTGCTCTACGTTTGTTACCGATAGTTTCTTTCTTATTCACTGCAATGAACCTAGAGTGTGTCTTTACAAAGAGCCGTGTTTTAACCTCATCAGGTATCCACTATTCCCGCTTGTGCCTAACAATAGTGTTGCGCCAGAACGTCGAATGGACGTACGCATAATTTCGCCCATCCATGCCGAACCTAGCACGGTGGCTTTCAATAATGATCAAACCTCTTATTGCATCTCACCGCTGAAGTGCGGGAGCTTGCCGAAAATGATGTGGACGTATACGTAGAAAACATTCATTTTTTTGACAAGATGACAAAATTTACCGGCACGTTCAAGTTTTCGACCTAAAATCAGGGAGACTAACTTATTTCGGTATGAAAAAAAAAAGGCAAATCAAAGCGAAGAAGGACGGGATCAAAATCGTTACAGTCCGTTGAATGACTGTTTCTGCGGGCCATAAGGAGCTTTGCGGCTAATAATTGTCGATGTGACCTCAAGTGTGAGGCCCATGGGACGACTTTCGGCTCTTCCATAGTAGAGTACCGAGTACTTGAAAATCGTTTACCACGTTTTCTAAACTCGAGAGCTATGGGCGCAGAAATATTTTGGGGGTGAAACTCTCGTTGGAACGGACGTCCGCAGGCGTCCAGAGAACGTCCCGTAAAATACAGAAAGAACATGCGCCAACGAATACATTTCAATTGGCGGCGCCTTGCGGCGCAAAGCCACAACCACGAAAAAATTAAAAAAAATTAGTTCGAAATTTGCATGTTACACCGCAAATGTAGCCGAAAGACGATAGTATTGTGCCTGGAGAGAGTGAACAAAACGTTTATTTGATGTTCTGCGCATGAAAATTGGTGAATGTTATTCTGGAGGCGCTGCGTTGGAGTGCCTCGAGCGGGTATAGCGGAGACAAACGAGCGCATCGAGGCACGTTAGACACAAGAGCCATCTGGCAGTTATCTTCGAAAACGAAGGCGTGTAGCCCAAGGAGGATAAAAGAAAAATTGATGGAGTGGAAGCTCCTGCAATGCCTTGCCAGTAGAAGTGAAGCCACCTTTTGCCACTGCCAAGATGGCGGAAACATGCTCTTTTCTGATAGTGCTCATCTTAAAGATCAAGTGGCTTTGATACGTTTTGTAAATGCTACGTTTGTTCTATATTAAAGGATTGTTGTTCCCGACGAAATAACACACAGAAACAAGTATGGATGACTGAATCTTCAAAGAACTTTGCCTCCAATTAGAGGCTCACTACGGAAAGGTAGTAACTTTAAGGCGCACTTGGAGCACTATGTGGCCCGAAAAAAGTTCCCACATTAAACTTGTTGGGCTTGCGAGGGAAACGCTTCGTTTTTAATTGCTGAACGGTCATACTTTATCATGCCCCTAGTAAGATGGCATCCACAACGCCATCTTGCCAGAGAAACGGCTTCACTTCTGCGCAATCATTTCCACTCCAGTAATTTTTTAAAATCCTCCTTGGTGTAGCCCGCGGAGAAAGATGCGCGCCAGTCTCGGCGGTGATAAGGTGTAGAACGCAAAGCGACGGGCATGTGCCACCACCGTGACGTTGTAGCAATGCGTTGGAAACACCTTTTTGAGCATGGCGTTGCACTGTCAGCGCAGCGTAATTAAGCGCTACATTCATTAGGGTTACTTGTGTGTGCCTCTTCTAGTATAAAGGCAGACATGCAAAATTTCGAAGTGTTGTTACTGTGCCTCAGATATGCGCAATAATTGCTTTTTAGTTGGCAATCGCACAATTATGAAGGCTAAACCTTGAGCAATATTGGTGGGTGCTGTGAATGGGGTTGGCCTATCGTCTTCATAAGGACGCCGTTATCGGCTGATCATGGCCGAACGCGCTCCGCGAACCATGTCTTCCATGAATGTATAGTAGCGCGCACCTTTTGGCGCATGGTTACCAGGATGTTCTAAACAAGTATGCAGTGGAAGTATCGCCACAGGGATAACATTGTCGTACTCTTAATGGCTATCGGAGCCTTCGTCTTATGGCAACGAAGGGGACTGGCCTGCCTGAGGGGACGCCCCCAGAGAGCCATGTTTCCCCTACTACATCGGCTAAGAAACAATGCTTATGCATCTTAACGCAGAACTAGTCATGCTGGGAGAGGAGGCTTTCCTCCGACGGTGGTCTACGTGATTTATTATCGTAAAAAACAACAGAGTGTGCATGCCTTTCCTCCCCTATTGAGGAGGTGGGCTAAAGCTTGTACCACTGGGACATTACAGTGTGTATTTTTCTTTTCTTCTTTAAAAACAAGTCTTTTTGTGCAATATTCTTCTTGAGCGCGAGAGCAAATTGTCCTCACAGGTGAATGCAAAATATCACGCTACACTGTGAATGACCTCCCCCTTGTTTGTTCATATAGCCTTACTGTTTATTTAAGTTTAATCATCTCGATGTCATGAATGTCCTGTCTTTGTTGTACAATTTTCGCATTGTACGTCACTGCATACGCTATAAGTTGTTTCGCTGTATATAACAGCTTGCATTGTACATACGCATTGTTCACCATTGTCCATTTTTATGTGTGCACATAGGCTGTGTATGATATATCCGGAAATAAAATTCTCTTAAACCCCCGCTCCGTGAGTGCGCGCAACGCGAACACTACGGGACGACCTGTTCGCTCGCCAACCAATAAAACGGCGGCAATTCCCTTTTCTGGCCCAAGACACCGCCAGCATGAATTGGCTCTCCGGCTACATGTGACATTATCTGGTCGCCTCAAGGAGTGGTGTTGCACCTCCTAAACGTTTCTTCCTCCGCAGGGAGGGGCAGCTATGGCTGTGGATGGACATTATGTAATAATTCTGAGGTTGTAGCCGACTACAGTGCGCCGCGTGCTGTGCGCGCCTCCGCAAACAGCATCGGTTCACACACGAAGTATATTCTAACTCTATACTAACGCCCACTTTCAGGCATTCCGAGGTTCGTGTGCGGGGCGCTGGGACCGACCAACCGGACGCTGTCAATATCGCCGTATGTTGACAGACCGCATGAACGCAATGTATGTACGTATCACCTATAAAGTAGACGGATATAAAGACGGAATATAAAGTGGACCTATAAAGTAGACATATATATATATCACCTATATAGTAAACGGAAAAAAGAAAGAAAAATAGTTCATATATATGTAAGAGCAAGTTTTTTCTTGCTTTAATGCATACTTGATGAATATATCTTTTTTGTGAATTTAATAATGACAATTAGCTAGAACGTATGCTCGCGTTGCTTCATCGACGTCCACTACCATCATTAGGCTTGTTTTCAAGCATGGAACATTAAAGCTAGGGCATGTCTTGATCATCTACACATATATCGGATTTGAAAGTTGGCCCTCGTCTGGTCTTCCTGTTATATTGTATGCCTGTCTTTTGCGCTACATGCCCCACCGCGGTGGTCTGGTGGCTAAGGTACTCGGCTGCTGACCCGCAGGTCGCGGGATCGAATCCCGGCTTCGGCAGCTGCATTTACGATGGAAGCGGGAATGTTGTAGGCCCGTGTGTTCAGATATAAGTGCGCGTTAAATAACCCCAGGTGGTTGAAATTCCTGGAGCTCTCCACTACGGCGTCTCTCATAATCATATGGGGGTTTTGGGATGTTAAACCCCACATATCAATCAATTTTGCGCTACATGTGCATTTATGTATTCCTACAAGCTCGCCAAATTTCTCTTCTTACATCTGGTGTATTACGTGCCAAAAGCATGATATGCTTATCAAGTGCGTGCAAAGCTCTGAAAATTTTTACCAGCTGGTGTTATTTTATGTGCACTGCCCTCGCTCAGTAAACAAGCCTCTGCCATTTTGTCTCAATCGAAATGCGACCGCCGTGACCTGTATCGAACCCACAAACTCGGGTCACCATCCGAGGATCGTAACCACTTCTCCACAGCGGTGAACTTATGCATATGTATGTGCTCCGTAACCATGGAGCTGGTAACTGCAGAAGACTGTTGGAGCAAGTTGGAATAACCCCGTAAATGTGATGGAAGCCATGGCTGCGGGTGAGGCGAAATGAAATGAACTCTATTTGGTCCTGGATAACTGGTCAGACACCCTCTAAAAGGGGTCCGCCGCAGTTGCTGGCCGCGCCCAAGCTGGGACTGGAAGAACGTGGCTTGCCCCGCCGCGCTGGTCTCTAAGGTACTCGACTGGTGACCCGCAGGTCGCGGGTTCGATTCCCGGCTGCGGCGGCTGCATTTTCGATGGAGGCGGAAATGTTGTAGGCCCGTGTGTTCCAGTTTGGGTGCACGTTAAAGAACCCCAGGTGGTCGGAGCCCTCCGCTACGGCGTCTCTCATAATCATATGGTGGTTTTGGGATGGTAAACCCCACATATTAATAAATCAAGACCGTGGCCATCCACTCGTTCGCAGGCCTCCTGAACTGCCAAGTTCTGGACTGAGAGCTCGGAGCTTTTAAGAGCCATGGCTAGATATACGCCGGTGGCGTTGCGGTCCAGGTTGGCCTGTTATGAGCAGCGAAGGATTATTAAAAGCATCTTAAAGAAATATAACAAGGCAATCGTCAGCGTTCGTTTGAGAAAGCGCGAACGCGGGATTCCTGCCTTGAAGTTGCGTTTCAGGTCACGTGCTGCACGTGTGATTCACGTCACCAAGTGGTGATTCTGTCGTAGGGTTCGGTATACATCTGCAACATAATGTACAAGCGGGGTTGTACCAAAAGCGCAAGCCTGGTGTAGGGAGCCCTCTCTGTGACTGCACTCTCAATATAAGTGTATAGGTCCGGTCCGTGGGCAGCGAGGTTGCCACCAATGCCGACCTGCCCACGCCAACTGCGAGGAGCGGTGCCATTTGTATTAATATAGGTGTATAGCCAGGTGTACGCCACGACTGTTGGCGGAGTTTGGTATAATAATGCCACATCATATAATGCGATGACATTTCTGCCAACAGTCACAGGTTTTGCATGCGTGATTCTACCTTATAATGTGGTAGAACGGGAGAGCATCGTAATGCGAAGGTGCTCGTGTCTCCCGAAGTGCCGATACTATACACTTTAATGGGGAAACTTTAGGAGCCAAAGATAACCTGTGTTATCCCTCCGATAATCTTGCAACAGAAACAGGAGCGGTGTGCGGGCACTTTACTCTTGTCAAGAGAAGCGTAAGTTTTGCGTAATCAAACAAGAGCGTCTTTGCCTAAACGTGTCGCCATATTGTTTTTCCTTTAGTGTGGGAACACAACTCGCAGAGAGTACATGACCACGCGCTCTTGACGTGAGTGCTGCGGTGGTAGCGAGACCTTGATTAAAAAAAAAAAAAAGGTGACGTATCAACTGTGCTCAACACGTGAAAGCCATTTTCTGTGACGCAGCTTTCGACGAACTAAGCGCCGCCTACGGGGAACAAGTGCGCGGTCTCGTCGGTGGTGGCGTGGACGTGCTTCTTGTCGAAACTGTCTTCGACACTGCCAACTGCAAGGTAACACATTTGTCCACAACGTCACACGTTAGTTTGCTTCCTTTCGTTGCGATTGTGTTTTCAAAGCGAAGCTGCGTATCAAAGAAGTGGCTATAAGTTAGGTGGTCCCTGAGGCGGTCGCCCCCTGATAATGGAAAGGGGTAGCCAGGTCCACCCGGACGCCTTTATTCATGATGACGAATTTCGCTGCGCGAGAACACGAGGGAAAATGCTTCTGAGTAGAACAGGGCGATGACTTCCGACGGGTTGGAAATCGGCGCTCTTTTCTGCCATGTGTCATTTTTCCTTATGTTCTCGCGCTGTGAAATTCGTCATCGTGAACACAGGCCAACTAGCCCAAGCTTCTGAACCTGTGAACCTTTATTCAACCGTTCCTGCTCCGTCATTGAAGAGATGTGGCCGTGAAGGTCTTGCACGATAATGGCTTCTGGGGATTCCTGGTTTTGCATTACGAGAACTGTTCACTTCTCGTTTTTTACCTTCTAGGAGCACGTCGTTGTTCGATCTCTCTTGCATCAATAGCGATACTTTTTTTTTTATTCAGCGTTGACGAATAAGAGAGAGGGGAGAGGGGCAACACTGGGGTGAGAAGAGAAAACACGGAGACACTAAAGAGCAAAACAATATCTCGCCCATTAGTGAAGTACAATTTCTCAATCCCTTTTAAGCGTGACTCGATGATTGGGAAGCGAGAAAACGCGCGCACGCCAGAAAGAGAGAGAGAGAGAAATAGAGAGGAAAAGCAGGAAGGTTAACCAAGCTTGGCTCGGTTGACTACCCTACACTTGGGGTGGGGGAAAGGGGAATGTTAGAAAGGAAAGAGATAGAGAAGAAGAGGAGTTACAAATAGATGGATAATTAGTCAGCTCGAGGCTACACAGCACGGTCTCACGCTGTTTTTACAGTAGCGCTCGTTAAGTCCGGTGGTCCTTAAGAAGCACAGAATAGCTAAAAAATGCGGCTAGGGACGCCAAAATCAGATTCCCGCACCTAACACCGTGACGTCGTATATTTCGAAGGCGCCTAATGGGTACTACATTGCTCCCAATCAATAAAAAAGAAGCGCATTGTCATCTGACGATGCCATACACCTATAGCATACGACAATTCAGAAAATTTCATCGAGCCAATCTCGAGAAAATACTAAGAAATACATTTCGAAATTTTTTACTATTTGACAAATCTGCGATAAACATCTTTTTAATGTTGGTAATTTGTGTTTTTGCCTGCTACTTAAGGCAGCATTGGTGGCGATACAAGAATACTTCGAAGCATCCGGAGAGAGCCTCCCTGTCTTTGTAAGTATACCCTAAAAAAAGACATTTTTTTTTGTATAAACAGTAGTGCATGCCTTATAGTGAAGTACGCCGGTAATTGTCTATAGCCACGATGCATTGTGCTGTAAAGGCGTAACAAGCATTATTTTCCGCGGGTGGGGTGGAAGGAAAATAAAAATAAAGTGATTAAGTACATAACTATATTCAGAAGAAATGCTAGAATATTTACGTACATAACTTAGACGCATATTCTGGGGAAAGCAGACGATAAATTCAACATGGACACCTCGTCTACGTTTCTTTCTATTTTAGACTGTGCTTGATGGTTCAACTTCGAATCATTGAAACAAATCAGCCTATGTTGATAGGGGTAGCAGTGCAAGCACGAAGGCGCTGAAGAAAAACCGTAACGAAAGGCAAATAAATCTCGAAAAATAAATCAGTTGGAACGTCTCGTTTCATCCCTCTTTGTTTTCCGTTCCTCGCCTTGCCTTCCGTTACGCTTTTACTTCGACACTTTTGTCCCCGCGCTGCAACTCTTATGAACACGCAATTCAACCAACTAGCGCCAAAAGCCGTTCCTCTTTAATTAGCCAATCAATGAAGCGATCAAACGATGATACTTGCACATGTTTATCACCATAATTCGGGTGGCATACGTTGCAGAACGAGATCATTTTTTTCTTATCTCTTTCTGGCGTAATGTTCCATTTTGATTCTTCTTTTGCTGCAGATTTCAGGGACTATCGTCGACAAAAGTGGACGAAATCTGTCGGGACAAACTTGCGAGGCATTCATTCTGAGCGTCAGCCACGTAAGGCCGCTCTGGTATGTACAGTGCGCTGTGAACTTGAATATTAGGCACAGACAGACAGACACATGCAGATAGGTACATAGATAGATAGATGGATCAATAGATAGAGACAGACAGACAGACAGACAGACAGACAGACAGACAGACAGACAGACAGACAGACAGACAGACAGACAGACAGACAGACAGACAGACAGATAGATAGATAGATAGATAGATAGATAGATAGATAGATAGATATATAGATAGATAGATAGATAGATAGATAGATAGATAGATAGATAGATAGATAGATAGATAGATAGATAGATAAACCTACGCACGTTAGGTGTTAAGTCGTGGACTGTGATAACTGTGATAACAGGCAGAGCAATAGACAGATAGATAAATAGATAGATAGATAGATAGATAGATAGATAGATAGATAGATAGATAGATAGATAGATAGATAGATAGATAGATAGATAGATAGATAGATAGATAGATAGATAGATAGATAGATAGACCTACGCACGTTGGGTGTTAAGGCGTGGACTGTGATAACTGTGATAACAGGCAGAGAAATAGACAGATAGATAGATAGATAGATAGATAGATAGATAGATAGATAGATAGATAGATAGATAGATAGATAGATAGATAGATCGATCGATCTACGCACGTTGGTTGTTAAGTCGTGGACTGTGATAACTTGCGCACTCCGGACCTGTAGGCTTCAGAGGGTCAGAGTTGAATACTGCATAAGTTCATGAGGTCTTAGGTTTAAGCCTCGACACATTTGTTAAGCTGCTGATTTCAGTCATTATTCACGGTTTACTGCTATTTGTTATCCATGTAGAGTGAGTGAGAATTTATTAGAAGGCGGAGAGGTCGGCCTGAGCTAGTTCGCTCAGGCCTGCTACTCTACACAGGGGATAAAGGAAGGAGGAAGGAAAGAGAGATGAAGAATGATGTTGAGACAAGAAGAGGTGGTGCGTATGTACGGTAGCCACTTAGCATAGTATAGCCTATAGTCTAGTATCTCGTCCATGGTGCTTTTGATAAAGTCTAAAACAGCCTTTGTAGCAGTTTTTGACACTGTTTAATCGTTCATTGCTGACAATGTGTTTATCCATGTATTTCGCAGTGGAGCTAAATGCGTTTTTATGGCAAAGGTGTTACGTCGTAGGCCGACCAATCGACGGAATGATTTTCCGGGGAAGTTGTCAAATGATAGAAATATGTCTGAGGTGCAAAGGGAAACAAGAACTAAAATGTTGGAAGACAAGGTAGGATCTGGCGTCATATACGCTGTCTTCTACCCGTTTTAAAGTGAAACTATAAAAGAAGCAGTGGTCTAGTAGTAGTCGCGATATTAAGGGGAACTAACAGACAATCATGCCTAGGAAAGTATAGGAGATTTTGTTAGAAGTAATTCTGATGTATATGCGAAGAAAAGTGGACGGAAAGATGAGCTGCTGATGGCAGGGACCGAACCCTCGAATAACCTGTCCGATGCACTCAGACGGCGGCAGTCATCGCTCTGTCCACTTTATAAGGTTTATATGCTCATTTAAACGTGGCAGCGTCAGTCAGCGCCGCAAGCATAGCTGTTACGGAGAGTGTGGAACAGTTTTTGCCTGTTGGCGTCACGTAGCACTTTATCTTATTACGAGCTGGCACCTGACCGAAAATCCCTTGCATGATATCTCAAAGTATCAAGCCTGCCAAAACGAGACCCTCGCTATTAGTGAAGGAAAGAAGTGTAAATTTGAGGGCTGATGTTTTTTTTTGTTATACACAGTAATAATGGAAATTACTAATCATGTCTAGGAAAGTTTAGGGAATATCATTGGAAGTTTAATGCAAACGGGAAGGGAGAAATGTGAACGAAGAGACAACTTGCCGCCGAATAACTGAATAGCAATATACTGCAATGCAGTATACTGCATTGCTCTTTCTCTCTTCTTTCTTTCTTTCGTTTGTCTATGATCACTGTTTAGAAAATATTTATTTACAGTATGTACAGAACACAAATGCTTCATAACATTTCAGTAACAGGGCACGTACATTTCGGCGCATCTATGTATCACGACCAACATTACGTTGCAGAAGACATTTGCTCTACTATACATGACGATGCTGGCATACATGTACACAAGAACCCAATGCGATATCACTATTAGAGTTCCTGTTTTTGAAACGTTTTCCCCGCAGCATCGGCCTCAACTGCGCCCTCGGAGCCACTGAAATGCGACCGTACTTGAAAGACACGTCTGTTTTCACTGATGCATATGTGATCTGCTACCCTAACGCTGGTAAGACTTACTGGGAGTGTTGTTCATTGCTGTAATCCGCCACTTAGTCATTTCTTCAACTGCACTTGCGCGCAGCATTTAATATTCTCATGCGTAACACTTACTTTATTGATACCTTTCCGTGCAGGATTGCCTAACGAGTTTGGCGAGTATGACGAGACTCCAGAAGCCATGGCAGACAGAATTAAGGTGGGTTACGAATCCAAGTAAAAAATAATGTTGCTTGATATTATTTTATTATGCACACTTTTGTAACAGCGAATAGGCTATGCTAGTAAATACTAAGGTGGAGGAGCTAACAGTGTCGCGTGTACCTTTTTAGATGCGAAGCAGCTCTTTGAATAGCCTGTGTAACGCTGTCCCTCCGTTCGTCTGTGCGTACGCACCGCAACGCGCTCCCCTCGCCGCAGGTGTTGGAGCGGCGCCAAGTAGGTCGAGCCCATGGTAGAAGATACAAACAATTGTTTGTATTTTAAGCGGTGGTCATGCTGCAGCTGCGAGTTGACGTCACGCTCCCCTCGCAGTGTGCGCTGACGTCACTCTCTCTCGCCTGCCGTGTGCTCGTCGCTGTAAAGCCAGGGGCTTTACGTCGCAGCGCCCGCAGCTGCCGCCTCGTCCATTCACCCGCCACAGCGCCCCGATACCGCCGCTCACTACACCACCGACTCGGGTTCACGCGCAAGAAACCTGACGCCCGCCAAACGTACGCATTGAAACTTGTCTGTTCGGGTCACCTCTCTCTCTCGCTTTACTCTCTCGACCTCTCGCGATTCTCGAGAGCACATCGAGTGGTAACACTCTTTTAGGCTCGTTTATCTGCGATGGAGAGGAGGTCGGAACACGACGCTCCTTCGCCAGCCAAAACATACGCCGAAGCCATCAGGCCTAACCTGGCCATCGCTTCAAATGACTTCTTGGCAACGTCATATGTGGTGCCATATGATGGCGTCATCACCGCTGGACGTTGTCACTTGCTGCAGAGGTGCGTCAGTGCCGGAGGTGGTGCAACACCACGTAATTTGCAGAAAACTCAAGGAAAGGGGGGAATCAGGGTGATCGATAATTAAAAGCAGAAATGAAATGACGTGCTGCAAAAATAAACAAAATATGGCCTTTTCCACCGAGTCGTCTAGGACAACTACGTAACGGATTGTAGGACTTTTCAGCGTGCGATTTTCGCGCTACATCACTAGAGTATATCGAAAAGAGAATCAGATTTATAGAAGAAGAAAGACACTGTGGATGGGCGAAGCATGTAGAAAAGGGTGTTTCAAAGCGTCACTAACGTCGTCGGGAAACTGCGTCGAGGAGGAGGAGAAAGGAAGGAGGAAGGAATGTAGCTTGCCCTAAGGTCCTACTACTTACTTTTTTTATTTTTTACATGCCCACGGTTTCAGTACTCTCAGGCGTGTAGGCAAGGGTGTTTTAGCACCATTAATACTGTCGGCTATTTGTTAGGCTAACTGTGGCCCCCCTTCATATTCAGGGGACCGATGGTGAGTAGTGTAATTTACGCAATATTTTTTGGCGTATGCCCATTTATGACAGACCATAACTACATGATGGACCGGGACGACAGAAGATGCCGAGAAGCTGAGTACCTATGAAAGGGCTAATAATTTTGACTTACTGGACATCCACTAGTGATTATCATGTGTCATCTTGTGTAGTCTGTAGTGTGTGTTCCCTAGTTACGTGGATTCTTTAGGTCACTACCAAACAGCACAGCTAAAGGGATCCGTGACACGCCGTCTTTGTTTCTTGCCCAGGAGTTTGCCGAGAGCGGTTTGGTGAACGTAGTAGGCGGCTGCTGTGGGACGACGCCGGAACATGTCCGCGCCATTGCGGATGCCGTGAGAGGTTTGAAACCGAGGCCGCCACCCGTGGCGGTCAGAAGAGGTTGCCTCAGTCTTTCCGGTGAGCCATCCGCTTCGATAAGTCCAGGAATGTTTTCATTATTCCGTTACATCTCCCCATCCTCTCTTCCTATGCCACTGTCATTGTCGTCATCTACGTCTCCTGTAGGAGGACGACCTTGCCCAGTCATCTCAAAATACCTACGCTCCTCATATGTGGGGTAGCATATAGGACTTCCATTAATAACGTAAATGCCTGCCATGGTGCATGCGTCTTGGGTCTGGCGGCAACGTCACGAAATGCTATAGGTAGGGTTCCCGATTTCGGAGGCTTTTGTTCTGGTGATCCTGTTTGTCCCGGATCACACTGCCACGCTTACTCCGCCACTGAACCCCCTACAAAAACGGCAGAAGGCAGAACTGGAAAATGAAAAAGACTGATCGCGGAGGGGTTCAGGGGCAATAGGTGTAAGCTCTTATGAGAGTGTTAATTTTCTTGTGTCACGCATCACGCGACGAAGTACTTTCGATTGGATGTGCCGGACACTGATGAATCGCAAAAAAGTACTTCCAACTGTGGGCGCACAAATCTCGTGTTTAATAATTCTTCTGTGTTGCCCGTGTTTCTATGTGCGTCACCACGTCCCACCATTACTAGTTCACCTGTAGGTTAAGCTTCTATAGAGGTCAGTAGCAGCAATTAAAACTGCATTCATATTTGACTGAGTGAATGTGAGTCTTCCTTAAAGGAGCCCTGCAATACTTTTCCAAGTAACCATCCAATTAATTGCCCCACTATAGGAGCTTATTACCTTACGAATCAAGCGCTGTAAAAAAATTGAATCTGTCAAGCAAGAACAGAAAGAACAGAGTTAGACAGTCGCTGCACACTCAAAGCGCCCTCTTTTCGGTTCGTCCCAGCGAGCGTTCTGAAAGCTGCAGATAGAGGGAATAACGAGGGAGCAAGAAGATACGTCCATACTACACCCTGAGCACGTTTGGGACGTTAAGCCGCAACAGTAATTATTATTATTAGTAGTATCTATGCTATTAGTATTATTATTATAATACATTATAAAACCCTGAAGACTTCCTTTTCTGGTTTTCTATGAACGCGCAGCTGACTTTCAGCGTGGTCACGAGCACGCTCACTAAACAGTGCAGCATCAGGGGGCTTTGCGCACTGCGGACACGTAGCGGCACACGGCGGCGGGCGCTGTAACTGTGTAGCTTACGGTGGTCCAATCAGCCAATGGCCGAGGACTGTTTTATTGCGATATCAATTATATGGACACTCTCAGCTGGTTTTCGCCGTTGCCGTCACTGCAATGTCCTCTCTCTCACTCACGATATATATATATATATATATATATATATATATATATATATATATATATATATATATATATATATATATATATATATATGGCATTGTTCGCAAATCCTGACGAAGACCAGTCCACCGCTCGAAACCGTTGGTAATGAAATTGAGACAACCGCTAAGTTGTGTTTCTTCTTCTACTCTCTCTCTCTCTCACCATATATATATATATATATATATATATATCAGGATCCTTCAGGATGAAGGATCCTGATGAAGGCCAGACTCTAGGCCGAAACGTCAAAATAAACCACGTTTTGACCACTCACGGAGGATCTACTTGACAATGTATATATATATATATATATATATATATATATATATATATATATATATATATATATGGCATCATTTTCTGGCCATGTTCATAAAGCGTTGTAGGGTCCCTTTAAAGCAGATATACGTATATACAGGTGTTCTTCTTGTTTGGTGTCGGTTCGGCATAGACGTGGACACGTTCTTATTTTGCAAACAGGACTCGAAGCGGTGGTAATCACGTCGGAGACGCTGTTTGTGAACGTCGGCGAACGCTGCAACATAGCCGGATCTCGAAGGTTTGCCGAGATGCTCCGACAGGGGAAATACCAGGTACGGTGACGGCTCGTTTGCTTTGCACGCTCACGCGTACTTAGTTGAAGCACGCTGCAAATCACGGCTGGGATATCAGTAGCACACATCGTAAACATCTTAAGTACAAGGAGAGAGAAGAAGACGGACACTATGAGCGCGCATATTTCACAATTCACACGTACGTAGCAAGAGGCAGCGTAGCTAGACAGCTCACAAAAGCGGGCAAAGTCTACTTGAGCCCCCTAAATTTCTTGAGTGCTCCCTTTTTTGTCTGAGTAAAAAATTTGGAAAAAGAATAGCAAATTAATAGCAAGTTTAATCACCCTACAAGAAACTGCGGCCTATTACAGTAGGGCTAAATTGTGTGCATTACCAATAATGGTTTAGAAGAGGTGAGAATAGTTTACAACAAGGTCTTTTACGAAGTGCTAGCGAAGAAGCAAAACGCTGTGAACCTCAAAACTTTAGAGCTCACTCAGACTCAGATTCACTGAAATTTTCTTCTGTCAGGCTCACTAGGACTCAAACTTACCAAAATATTGCTTACATGCAATTGATTTCATATGTGAGGTTTAACGTTCCAAAACCACCATATGATTACGAGAGACGCCGTACTGGAAGACTTCGGAAATTTAGGCCACCTGAGGTTCTTTAACGTGCGCTTACTTGGAGTCACTCAGACTATACTGGCTCTGAGTGAGTGAGTGAGTGAGTTAGAGCGAGGTGAGTCCCGAGTCGGTTAGCGTACAATTAGCTGTTTTGCCCAAGATATCAATGGTTTTCAACATCGATGTGTCGCATAATCGGTGTTCTATTTCCCACTTTAGATCTTAATTGCATATTTAAGTACAAGTTGTCCTGGTTGCAATCCATAAGGGCATTGTTATTGAAGGTGATGACTCCCATGAGATGTTTTTGACACCTTCCTTTGAAAAAATAATGTAGGGATGGTCAAACCATTTCCCCGTGACTCACACACGTCCCTATTGAACTTATACATAGCTGGCGTATGAAGGCTACTGCGTTGATGTTGAGTAGACATAATTAGAATAAACCAGAGCTGACATATAAGGGTAACAGTAACGCCGAAGTTGCGTTCGTAGAAAGAGAGGTCGGAAAAAGAATGTGGAGCTCACTTAGACTCATGCTCACTAATGTTTTAGTCAACCGGACTCACTCGGACTTCGTCTCGCTAAAAATTTTCTTTATCAGACTCTCTCAGAATCATCATCATCATCATCAGCCTGATTACGTCCACTGTAGGACAAAGGCCTCCCCCATATTCCGCCAGTTAACCCGATGCTCTCAGAATCAAGCTCACCGAAATATTACCGGGACTCACCCAGACTCTGACTCACGACTCGATCTTAGTCTGTGTGAGTCGACTCACGAGTTAGTTTGCCCGCCTATGCTGTGAACTCATGTGATCGTCATCTGACTCCGAATGCCTTACAGATGTGTTGCAGGTACCCGCTTCTCCACAGAATAACGAATAATGGCCTAGTAGTTGTTTCTCTACGTCACATAATTAATGAAGATTTATGGCGTACTGGTTGCCATGCAAGTTTAATTGTTACCCCAAGATGGCATAGAACGTGCTCTGAGAGACCGCTCTGTGAGTTTTTGTTGTTTGTGCTGCATTTTTTGCACAAGCCAGACGTTTTTTTTGGAGCGCAGCTTTTAAGGCCGGACCACACGCGCGCTTTGCAGCGTGTCAGCGCGTGGTTTTCTGACGCGGCGCCGCGCCCTCTCCGTATGGAGAGAGAAAGAGTGCGCGGCTACGCGAAGCTCCACTCCCCCTCTCTCCGTAAGGAGAGAGTGCGGCGCCGCATCGGAAAGCCACGCGCTGATACGCTGCAGCGCGCGCATGTGGTCAGGCTTTTAGACGCCCGTTCCTGCGTTGAGCGGTGCCGCCGTCACTGTTGCTGTCGCCATCTGTGGCGGAACGGAGTGATAAACGTGAAAAATATAATGAAAAAAAATGAGAAGCCTCTACGCAACCAAGGTATTGTTACATGGTTACTGTTTCGACTCTTTTTTTCTATCCCCTGCAAGGATGCCCTACAAGTGGCAAAGGAGCAGGTGGAGATGGGGGCGCAGATATTGGACATCAACGTCGACGACGGAATGATTGACGGAGTGAACGCGATGACGAAGTTTCTCAACTTGATCGCCAGCGAGCCCGAAGTGTCCAAGGTGGGTAACATGATGCATAACGGTGGAAAATGCAAGTGGCACGACAGCGTATTCACGGGGCCAGTTTGCTCGACTTGGAAAATGAAGGTTGCTTAATGGACACATTTAGTTGGGCGTCCGCAGAAGCCGTGCGAACACAGCCAACACCTTCTATATGTATATAAAAAATACGAGGTGTTGACACAGCCTGCTTTTCTGAAAGACTGCGTCCGCAGGGCTGTTGTCCACGCTTCATTAAATCGGTCTAATGTGTGTCTTCCACAGTGCGGCTCGTGACGTGCTGCAAGAAATGTCTCCAATTAACTCAATACATTAATAAGAGTGAAGCAGGCTTTCGCCTTCGATTGTTACGGGAGGTGTATCAAGCTACCGAACTATTAACCGCGGAACACCTTTGGGTACCGTCCTGTCGCCGCCTCATGTCTCGCGTCGGCGTCACTCAGGTCTCACGTAAGCCGAGTAGGCTGCACGTTTGAAAGACCAGAGCTTGCTTGCCCGTGAACGCCATCATTCCCGAAGGGTTAATATCCTTTTCACACGTAGCAACTGAAGTGCACTTTGAGCGAGTACACTTAGCCGCGAGTGTCATTCGCGCGCTGTCGCACGAGCAAGTTTAGTGTCTTTCGCTGCAAAGTACACTTGCCGGCAAGTGCGTTCCCCGACCTCACCTCACTGCGACGGCTGCGATGAAGTGTGTAGCCTCGGTACCAGTGGCTTGTACAGAAAGACGCTGTTGCCTGAAGCGGCGCTCATAATATATTTAAACCACTGTTTTTGTCATGATGGATATTGTTATGTATAAAACAATCATAAAAACAACAATAACCTCGCTACTTTCGCCGTCGGGCTATATGCGGCCACGTCCGCTAGGCGGAAGCGGCAGCACATGCACAGCAATGGCTGCGTCCGTCGCGTTGTTTACTTCCAGGTACCACTTACACGTGTGTAGGTGACTTGTTCTCTAGTCATTCAAGATGGCATGTGACACATGTGCTACTTTCACGAAGACAACGTGGTCCGAAGATGAGACACAGGCGCAGAAATAACAAACATACGTTGTGCTACAAATCCGTCAATCGCCACTGCCATCATTTCCAAAGTTCACTTCACTTTATCGTGTAGTAGCGAACCGCCAAAATGACACTTCATGAACGTAAGCACACTCGCTCAAAGAACACTTAAGTTGCCACTTGTGACAGGGGTATGACTTGCCTGTCCGAGCCAGCGAAGTTAGAGTGAAACGACGGCGAAGTCAGACACAGATGAACGGAAAAAAGAAGCGGAGGTGGAGCGCCGCCAAAGAGAGTTCGAATTGCACTAGGAGCAGTAAGGAGAGGAAAACAGTGAAAAGGAGGCCATAAAATAGAAGATAGATACGAGTTACATACAAGGGTTTGTTGTAACACCGCCTCTGTTTATGTACAGCAAGCAGCCAAAGGCCCCCATCGTGCATAAGCATTTGGCTGGGCAGCATACTACCGGGATCACATGAAATGTTTTGCAGAGAAATGAGAGCTCTGTATCGTGTTCATATTTCTTTTCACTCGCACCAGCGCCGTGTTCTTCCATGTTTTAGGTGTGAAGCGTCGTTTAGACTAAGTGGTTAACGATTTTGAGTAGTAGCTTAAGGCCGTCCCGCGGGTCTTACACTTGATGAGGCCGCATCTACATATAAATTACGCCCCGGGCCGGGCTCGGGATAGTGCTGTCAAAATGATTAATTGTCGTGGCGGGTCTGTTCTCGCGCTCGATCATGAGCCGTTTCGTTGAGGTTGGGTTGCGGCGGGTGGACGTCTTTGCCCAAGTGACTAATAATAATATCTGGTGTTTAATGTACCAAAGCAACGACATGATTATGAGACACGCCGTAGTGGAGGGCTCCGGAAATTTCGACCTCCTGGAGTTCTTCGACGTGCACCTAAATACAAGTAAGCGGGCCTCGACATTATCGCCTCCATGGAAAGTGCAGACGCCGCAGCCAGGACTCGATCCCGCGACCTGCGGGTCAGCAGCCGAGTACCTTAGCTGCTAGACCACCGCAGCAAGGCAACAGCGGACTTTTTATAGTGTTGCTGATATTTATCCGACTTGTCTAAACTAATCAGATAATCACGAGAGAAAAGTATGTAAGAGAAGGTAAACCCAAGAAAAGAACACGCAACAGCAGCAATGACGATAAGCACAAAAGAAAGCCTGGCGAAGAAATGCTCCAAATTTTTTGCCCCGCTGAGGTGGTCTAGTGTACAAGGTACTCGGCTGCTGACCCGCAGGTCGCGGGATCGAATCCCGGCTGCGGCGGCTGCATTTCCGATGGAGGCGGAAATGTAGGCCCGTGTGCTCAGATATGAGTGCACGTTAAAGCCAGGTGGTCGAAATTTCCGGAGCCCTCCACTACGGTGGCTCTTATAATCATATGGTGGTTTTGGAACGTTAAACCCCACAAACCAATCAATCAATCAATCAATCAATCAATCAATCAATCAATCAATCAATCAATCATTCTGAACTTTTTACTGCTTTCGCTTGAGGTTGAACTGATGGCGTCTCTGAACTTATTCGTGTAAACACGCTGCAACCAAAGAACGTGAACGAAAGAACACAGTACATAGGAAGAATGCTGAACTGTGTACTGTGTTCCTACGTGCTTGTCCCTTTGTTTAGCAGTGGTTCCCCAGCTAAGTGTGCACCAGCTCGCCCATATCATAGCCTTGCTCGAGAAACGTTGTGTCATACGTTGGGAGACATTTCTTGCACGAGCCGCCCAAGTATACCCGACGTAACAGGCACAGCAGTGACAGAAAAAAAAAAAGAAATTGTTGCTGAGTGGAACGTCAATTTGTTTCAGGTTCCCATCTGTATCGACTCGTCGAACTTTGACGTGATTCTGGCCGGCCTTAAGTGCACCCAGGGAAAAGGTATCGTCAACTCTATCAGCCTCAAAGAAGGCAGGGAGGTATTTCTGAGGCAGGCACTCGCGATAAAGAAGTTCGGCGCGGCGGTGGTTGTCATGGCTTTCGACGAACTGGGTCAGGTGAGTTGTACGTCCCCAACTTTGCTGCTCGTGAACCGTGAAATAACGCAGATGTATAATAAAATCTGTGTTATTTGGGTTCATTATGTGAGAACTTAGCTTTTGAGGAGCTTGTATACTAAGAAAGACGTAGATGCACAAAATGTCTGGCAACATTATTTCGGATAGACTGGAACTTATGCGCGTGAATGGAACCCTCAATCGCACGCATGCGCGCGCGTTCGTTTATGTATGTATGTATGTATGTATGTATGTATGTATGTATGTATGTATGTATGTATGTATGTATGTATGTATGTATGTATGTATGTATGTATGTATGTATGTATGTATGTATGTATGTATGTATGTATGTATGTATGTATGTATGTATGTATGTATGTATGTATGTATGTATGTATGTATGTATGTATGTATGTGTCAGCGATGTCCGAATGAATGTAGTCAAGGCAAGGTTCAAATTTTAAGAAAAACTGTATTGTGCTAAGTTACAGGCGAATCGGCAGCGGTTACATGTATAAGGAAACTGGACTCGGTGCAGGAGCTCGATCGGCTACGTCCGACGCCACTCGCGTCTCGGCTCGCTCTCCGGTGCGTTGCTCTGTGGTCCCGGCTCGAATCTCCGCTCGTTCTCCCTCTCTGGCGATGCGTTGCTATGCGGTCTCGCTCGAAGGCTCACTTTTTTTGTTTTTTGAATGTTCGTTGAACCAATGGGCAACCGCGTCGAGTGGATGCGCTCAGGGCTCGGAGTCCACGTAACGCAGTGCAGCGTTTCCCGAGCAAGCACGGAGACGCTGCCGGCGAAGAAGGCGCTGCCGGAGAATGAGACGCTGCCGGAGAATTCAGCTGTGCGAACTCGAGTGCCGCTGACACGGCCCTCCCGAAAATTGCCCTGTCCTCAGGCGTGCGTGTCGTTAGATGGCGATGGTTCCGTAACTTCTAGGAGCGGCTCCTTATATCTACGAAGCTGCTCCACGTTGACGATTTTTTGGTTGATCATGCCCGGTGTGTGGGGTACTCTTTGGATCTCGGCCCTGTTTCCTCCGACGAGGGCCGTTATCTCGAACGGACCTTCATAGCGAGGGTCTAATGTGCCTCGAGCGCTCAACTCAAGCAGGACGAGGTCCCCCGTTATGAACCTCGGAGTTCGCCGCTTCTTGTCGTATCGGACCGTTGTTTTGCGCTGACTCTGCAGTAGCCTCTCTCTTGCCTCCGCACGTCCCCTTGCCAAGTCGTGCAGTCTATGAGACTCGTCGATGTCTCCCTCGACTGAGGCGAGGTTGAGCTCTCCTGGCAGTTTTGGGTCGTAGCCGTGCATGAGTCGAAATGGGCTGTGGCCACTGTGACGATGCTTCGTGGCGTTGATTGCTAGCGTTGCTCGGGGTAGTTCCTTCTGCCATTTGTCCTTGTTGTTTAGCATTTTGCGTAGCACCTGTTTCAACGTTCCTACCATTCGCTCAATCAGTCCGTTTGATTGTGGCCAGTACGGTGGGGAGTTCTGATGAGCAATTCCCAGTCTGTGATGGAATTGGTTGGTTTTCTTGTTCACGAATCCCTTGGCTTGGTCCGTAATAATGACGCTGGGAACTCCAAATCGCGGAATCCACCGGTTTGTCATGAAGTCAATGTAGTGCGCCGACGAAGTGCTCGGTACGGTCACGGCGTCCATGTATCTCGTGGCGTGGTCGATACACACGAGGATGTGGTCTCCCTTCTCGTTTAGCGGACCCATGTGATCCAGCGATATCACCGCGTTTGGCTCAGTAGGAATATCGCGTGGGATGAAGCAACCTTCATTCCGTGTCGTGCGGGCGTTGATAGTCTGGCACGTGAGGCAGGAGTCAACATACTCGCGTATGTCTTTTCTCATCGACGGCCACCAGTACTTTCGCTGGATCAGGTCTCTTGTCTTCTCGACGCCTAAGTGGCCGTTTTTGTCGTGGAAAACGATCATCACACTGCTTCGGAGGGCAGCGGGAATGATCACCCTCCGACGGACCCGTCCTCCCTCGAGAGATTTCTTCACCAGTATGTCGTTTTCGATCTCGTAGTCTGAAGATTTGTGCTTGGCCTCCTCCCGAAATCTTTTGCAGTCAGTATCCCTCTCCTGAAACTCGCGTAGGCGACTGTGTTTGCCGACCACTACTGCGTAGCAGTGGAGGTCTCGGGTCGAAACGCCCTGGTCGAAAGCCTCTGCAGATTCCGACTGCCTCGAGAGTGCGTCAGCAGCGGAGTTCTGGCGTCCTGGCTTGTGCTTGACGTCGAAGGTGTACTCTGCTAAGTCGAGCGTCCACCTCGCAAATCTGCGGTTGCTGGCTCCCTTCTGGACGAGGTATGACAAGCTGAAGTTGTCCGTGAACACTGTAAAACGAGGGCCTCCTCTCAGGTAGACCGAAAACTTCTCAGTGATCGCCCAGTGGAGCGCCATGCACTCGAGCATATTAGAGTGTAAACCACGATCGTGCTCGTTTAGTGATCTGCTTGGGTACTCTATGATTCGCTCCTTACCGTCTTGAGTTTGAGAAAGCACCGCGCCCAGCCCGGTTTGCGAAACGTCGACGTGAACGTTAGTCGGGCAGTCTGGGCGGAAGCTCGCCGAAATCAGCGGGTTCTTCAAGGCGTGTTTTATGGCGTTGACGGTTGCTTCATGAGCGTCAGTCCATACGAAAGGAACGTCCTTCGCCAGAAGGTGCTGTAGCTTGTGCGTGACCTTTGCAAACTCCGGTATGAACTTTCGGTAGTGGTTAGCGAACTGCAAGAAGGAGTACAGCTTCTTTGCGTTGCGATGCGGCTCGAACTTCTCGACAGCGGCAACTCTGGATTCGTCCAGTGTTCGTCCTTCGGCGAAGATCACGTAACCCAGGAAAGATACTTTGTCTTGAATCAACTGGCATTTCCGGAGATCCATCTTCAAGCCGTTGATCACGACTCTCCTGAGTGCTTCGTTCAGCAAATCCAAAGCCTCGCTCACTGTTGTGGCTCCCTGCCCGACATCGTCCATGTACGTAGCTGTCCTAGGTAAGCCATCGAACGTGCGACGCATGACTCTTTGCATGGTCTGAGGGGCCTTGCAAAACCCAAAGGCCATTCGAAGGTATTCGTACTTTCCGTCTGGAGTGACGAATGCGGTCTTGTGTACGTCGTCCGGCTTCATTCGTATAGTCAGAAATGCCGTCTTCACGTCGAACACAGTGAAGTAAGCCGATCCGTCGCGCATGACATCGTCAATAACGTCTTCCATGACAGGCATTGGATAAGAAGGGTTGATGGTTTTCTCGTTGAGCTTGCGATAGTCGTGTACCATTCTTCGCGGAGTCATCGGGTGGTGCGGTTGGTCGACGACTATCGTTGGAGCACCGTACTCGCTTTCGCTCGGCCTTATGATGCCCTTGGAGAGGTAGTCATTCACCTGTTCTCGGATGAACTTGCGATCAGCCGGTGAGCACCTGTAGGGCCTCGATGACACTGGTATATTGTCTCTGAGTTCGATGCTGTGCTCGGTGTGAGGACACACGCCTAAAGTGTCGCCTTTGGAAGTGAACGCTTGGTGATGCCCTAACAGAATTGCGTGAAGTTGTTCCCTCTCTGCCTCGGTGGCATCCTTCGTTATCTTCCGTGTGGCGTCTTCGACTAGACTCGTGAAGTCTTCGTCGGGTGTGGGACATTTCGTGTTGAGGCGCACGTACCCTTCGTCTTTGGAAACACTCTCGTCCGATTGCCGGCACAACGTCGCAATAAGCGTTTCCCCGGTGCGGTGTGGTGTGCCTTGTTTCGGGGGTGGCACTTCGGACGATGAAAATTTTCCGGAGGGCTCGACTGGAACGATAGTCACATCGTTTGACGTGTGAAACGTTACGTCGACGTTCGCGACTCGTCGCCAGTCTGATCTCAGAATCAGGTCGATGCCGCTGGGCAGTTCCGTTACCACGACGTCTTCGAGTCGCACATTCGTGGTGCCCAATGTCACATCAAGCGTTGCAGCGAGAGTTGGGCATATGCTGCGGTTGAGAACTTCAATGTTCTCGCGCGATACCCATGCGTGCGTGGGAATGTCGTCCGTCAAGGCATTGGCACTCATGATGGATAAGTTGGCGCCACTGTCAATGCCCACGCGGACGGGTCGGTTGTTAGCAGTACCGGACACTATTGGTAATGTGCCGCCCGTCGAATGCAAAAAACAGTTCGCTTGCCTAGGTGACGTAGTCCCTGTTTCGTGGCTGCTATTGTCCCTCTTCGCTTGTTTCTCGTCCGCTCTGATCGTTGCTGGCGTTTTCGGCTTTCTGCAATCACGGGACAGGTGACCGATGTCGCCGCAGTTGAAGCACGAACGAGCAGAGATGGGCCGCGGGTGTGGAGCTCCCGAGAAATCGCTGCGCGGGTTGGCCTTCGGCAAGTTGGCAGAGCTGCTGGCTGGCACCCGCTGGTTCGAACCCTGACCACGGCTCGCTGTAGACGATGACGGTTTCTTGTCGTTCTCGGCACACACGGTCGTGCGACACCTCGCGTCGAGCAAAGCCGCTCTGTCAATGAGTTCGGTTACTGTGCCACACAGCTGCGCTGCGAGTGGGTTGGCCCATGTGTCGTCCTCGATGCCGCTGAGAATGAGGGAAATACGTTCTTCCTCTGCTAAACGGTACGGCGCCTTGTTCAGAATGGCGTTCTTCGAGTACATGTACTCGACGATGGTCTCGTGGCTCTGAAGGCGTCGCTTCGTCTGCAGTTCGAGGAACTCCTGCATTGTCAGCTTTCGTTTGAATCGGAGAATGAGCGCTTCCTTCCATTGCTCCCAGGTGTCATACTGTGAGCCGTAGGCGCTGTGCCAATCCTTGGCAGATCCCGTCAAGCGGCTTGCTGCTGTCACCAACGTCAGCGATGGCGTCCAGTGGGCGAGCGCTGCGATTCTCTCCACTTGCGTAATCCATTCGTGAGTACTTTGTTGCGGCGTCCCATCGAACAAGGGGATTGAGGATGACGTGTCGCTTGTGGAATGAATCTGGATC